TAATTGTTTTATTTGGAATGTTATTTTAATTCCGATATTGTAATAATATCAAAATTCCTTACTTTTTGATAGGTAATCCAAATGTAAAACAAGAAAAGAAAAAATTAAAATCTAGAAGTATATTTATTTCATACCTCTAACAATAAAAAACAACACAAGCACTTTTTACTGTCTATCTGCATAGTGTGGCATGTCCCGTAAGACTGAGATTTGTATGGTCGAATCCATGTTTCAGTTAAAGGAAAATGCATGCACAGTCTTCTGATTTTCCCTTCGATTAAGGATTCTGTATATACTAGCATAAGAAATATATTAGTTAATGCAGTGTTATACATCAATATTTATAGACAATTATTGTGGCTATGTTTATTATAATTTTGTTCACTGTAATGGCTGGAGTGCCTAAACCATCATGCTGTGTAAACAAAACTCAAATCTTCATCTCTGCATACTGCTCCACTAGTGTTTAAACCACTGAAATGGTGATTATGGTAGAACATCTTTGGTAAAAATTTACTCTACTGTAACCCTTGGCGGATCGTTTCTTTTTTTTATATCAAGATCGTCATCTGAGAGGATTGGCACCAATTTCAAGGTGGCCGCTACACAAAACCAAAATAAGAAGTCAAAGACATACACAAACTCTGTGTCCATGTACACATCGACCTATTAAAACAGAGAACTGCACAAACTGGGCATTGTGCACTGCCTTAACTTTGTCCATGTACACATTGATCTATTTTCACTTTAAGAAAATCAAAAAGTTAAAAATATCATAGTTACCAGAAAAAATTCGCCACTGTCTTAACACACAGACTACCAAAAATACACAAACAGAGAGGAATAAGTTACCAAAAATACATATTTCCTAACATAAAAACATTAAACAACAAATCTTCTAACAAAAATTAACACACAGAGACAAAAAAATTAATGAAACGTCATTTTTTTAACATACCTTTTTTTTCACATGCGTATGTTTAGGCTTCCCACCACCATCCTCCAGGTAAGCAATTCAATTAAATTTTTCCTCTCTTAGTCACCTCAGACATACTCAAACGATGGTACCCACACCAAAATAATAAATAGCATGTTCAAAATACAAGACCATACCACTTCCGTGCAACCAAACACAGCAATTGAAAAGAATGGTAAGAACCAAAAACCTGGGACTGTACAAAAGGTTTACTATTAAAAAAAGTAGCCCAAAACTAAATTTATCACAGCACGTTGGCAATATTTGCAGAAATAACTTTTTTTTTATTGACAAAAAAAAGTTTTTTTTTTCCCCCAAAGGCTACTTTCGCCAACATTATCAACATTAGGGTTACCGAAAAACTTATTTGACGCAATGGGCTTCCACATTTCACAAACAACCAATACCACTTTGCGATTTTTTTTCAGACAGAAACCAAGGTGTACCATACAGTAAAGATTAGCCACATCTTCATTTACTACTGCTACAAGTACTTCTTTGGTAAATTTCTGCGGTTAAATTCAAAAGTTTAAAATTGCATTAACATGATCAGATTCAGAGTCATAGCTAGGGTTTTCAGCGCTCAGGGACAACTGAAGATTTCGCGCCCCCTACTGCTTGCCAAGGATGGAAAACATTTAATTCTAAAATGTTCTAACATCAGTTTGGCGCCCTTGGATTCTGCACCCGGGGACAGATGCCCCCCTCTAGCTACGCCCCTGATCAGATTTTATTTTCTGCACGTAGCTAACAATTACTTATGTGTTGTCAGATAAATGTTACCAGATGCAGTTAATTATTTTTTACTTGCCAATCTCATGAGACAAGTTTTTTTTGCTCCTGCAAGACTTTACTTTGTGTTGCAAAATAAATTCATTCTCACTCTTTTTGGACTTGCCTACACATTAAATTTAAAATAGTTTTATGAATAGGTAAGATGTGATTATCATAATTTTGTTTCTCTCTTTATCTTGGCAACTTTATATGTTGATTCGGTATCCAGGTTACCTACCAGTGGCTGATTGATAAAACTGCTCATATGTTCAGCTGGTGGTTTGAGTTTATTTTCTGACATAAAAAATTTTAAAAGGCATCCCCCATGTTTATTTTACTATAATCGAAAAATCAAATAATTGCTACTCTGTTTATAGGTACTAAATGTTAAAATATTTTAAATGCTTCCTTTAATTTGCATTCTAATAGTCATTTGTTTAAATTTAATTATGAATTATATTCACATATAGTAATTGTGAGTGTTTTTTTATTTTAGGTGCTGTGAAAGGCAATGACAGAGATCCAATTTATCAAGAGTTCTTATATACATAAGAATACATGGATATAAGATTGTTTTTCATGAATTCAAATAAAATGTGATAAATTGGATTAATAAAAACTATTTTGAATTTTGAAAAGTGTTTTTCCTCTGTTAATCATAATATAGTGCCATAAATTTCTGAATGTGTTTATTTTTCATCCAAATAAATAGCTTTACAAAAAATTTGTCATATTAATAGATATTGCATAATTTAGCATTATTATAAATATTTATTATAGCAGATTTAGCTGAACTACTTTTTTAGTCTCTTTGCAGATGAAGTCACAAAGGTAAGTGGTTAGATATTTTTCTGTATTCCCCATTAAGTAATTTTATCTGGTAAATTATCATTACTTATATACTAAAGGTGAAGAATAAGCTTTCCTTGAAGATACAAAATTTTGCAGATATTTCAAAAAAATTGGTATACGTAAAAAAGTTCTTAAATTGCCACATATGCGAAACTGAAAATGTTATATATGAAATAGTTCAGAAATATAAATATTTTCACTATTTTTTAACTATAATTCACTGCATTTGTTATATATAATCACAGTTTAAGGTAGCAGTGCTTTTCTCACTGTGATTTCTCATGTATTTTGATTCATAAATACACGTACATAAATCCACGTATTTTGATTTCTCTTTTGAGACCGAATAAAAAATGAACTAAACATTTTCGTTGACATTGAGAGTTGAATAAAAGCTCACCTCAAAATAAAATGAATTAATAAATTTATGGAAAATTTTACATTGCATATATTGAGCAGAAAAAGTAAACTGAATATACTTAATAGAATTAATAATTGGTAGAGTTGATAGCAGAATAAAATGCCTTAATTGCATGGTAAACAGTAGATTTTTTGAAGTTTTTCTATGTTGCGTAAAATGCAGATTTAAATTTTTGATATTGATTGTCATATAAATGGCAATTACTGTTTTATTTTGCTCTGAAATGAATGGTTAGTAATAAAATTCTGGATGAGACAACCTTTAACATGCGCTAGAATTTACAAAGTTTAATTTGGTGCTGATTTCAACGGGTAAATTTCATTTTACTGAATTTTGCATAAAATAATACCAATGAACCATTGCAAATTATTTTCAGAACTTTTGACTTCATATCGTCAGTCGTAAACTTGTTTCGCTTTTCATTCAAGTCTTGCCATTTGGCAAAATTTAACATATTTACCTTTAAAATCTAATATATTATTGACTAACAAGCCAAGCTATTTAAAAGCATTGCACACAGTTCTTAACAATGCTTTTTTTTAATTTTTAATCTGATTGATTTAAAATGCATTTAATTCATGATATATCTAATTGAAAACATTTTAATATTTCTACATAATTACATGATATATTTCTTCATTTTTCAAATATATAGAAGATATATAACTTTCTGGTGTCAGTATCTTATAAAATGTTTTGCTATTTCCACTGCCCCATCTGTATTGATAATCTATACATTCATAAGCTTTTAGCCTCTTTGAGTGACTGCTAAAATCTGAGGCCTTTCAGATTTTTTTTTTTAATTTTGTGATTAGAAAGAATTTTAGAAGAGCTTCTTGAGTTACCTTTTGAATAATGATATAAAGAATTGTTAACCTAATGTTAAATTTTTACAACTAAATATTAAATATATAAAAAAGCCTGCAGCATTCTCATGTTACGAAAACATATTTATTTATTCTGAGGCTAGGAATTGATTTAGTTTTAAAAATACAATTTTTTCCTTTTAACAATTTCCCAACAGTGTCATCAAAACACTATTAAATTCCTTACATGTTTTAAAGAAAGATGATTCATTTATGTTAAGATTATTAAATGGGTAATTTTATTATTCACTTTTTAATACAAATTAACTGAAATTAGAAACTGATTTTGTAAAATAATTTAATTATGAATAATTCAATTTGGGGGCTATTGGATGTTTAAAAATGATCAAAAGATTTTTAATATCTTAAAAATAAAAGCAAAATTTTCAGTTTTAATATTTTGTATTAATAATTCATTTTAATTTCCTTGCTCAGTTTTAATATATTCACAAATTCAGATTTAAAAAACAAAATAAGTTGTATAAATATTTTCAACATTTCTGATTTTTCCATAGTAACCATAGGAGAACGATTTGAGACTATATGTGTAAAAAAAAGTAGGTTTTAGATCATCACACCTTCACATACTTTCACTGGAATTTTCCTCTGTATATATACTGGGATGTGACACTAAGCAGTTGAGAGTATGTATTTAAGAGAGAGTAGAGTATGTATTTAAGGTTAAAGGGATATTGTAACTAGTGTTTCAAATCCTGATAACATCCCATACGCTGTCGGTAGGACGTAGATAGGATGTGCTAAGGATATACTGGGATGTGACATTAAGCGCTCAGGAGGATGAGTTTAGGAGGAAATTGGGATATTACGGGATGTCCTGAGGATGTAGTAAGTAGGACGTTAAATCCTAATAACATCCCATATGCTGTCGATGGGACATAGATAGGATGTTTTTAGGATATAATGGGATGTGCTTAGGAGGTTTGTGGGATATCCCGGGATGTCCTTAGGATGTAGTAAGTAGGAGTTCATATCCTAATAACATCCCGCACGCGGTCGATGGGACTTGGTTAGGATGTCCTGAGGATATCCCGGGATGTGACATTAAGCACTCAGGAGGAGGTGTTTAGGAGGTTCGCGGGATGTCCTGAGGATGTGCGCATATCCCGCGAGCAACATCCTTGGGATATCCCAAGGATGTTTTTGTGCTATGTGGGGATACATTTCGGAATCCAATGCTAGCGTAGTTAGGTAATGACTATTCTTAATATAATTAAGAGTACTTTATTGGCAGATTCAGCATTTTATTATTCTCTGCATTATTTTCTTATTACGAATATATTCTATACATTATATTACAGTAAGTGGTTTTTTTGGGGGGGGCACGTATGCTCGCTACGCCACTGAATGGGTGGCAGAACGTCAGAGCTGGGAGACGACACACATTCACTCACCATGACTCGATTGCATCGAATGCAATCACATCAAACATAATGAGATCCTGGCGCCGTCTGCCGGCCAGCATTGTAATTATAAGTGCTTTTTAATTCAAATGCATTTGCAACGAAAGTAATGAGTTATTCCCAAATAATTATCTTGAATTTTTAAAATTTTATATAAAATGGTTCTAGAAATTTGTAAACAACCAATCTACAGGCAATTTCCTTTCCTTTTTTTTTAATAATTTGTTGTGAACTGAATTCCGGTTAAATTTCTACTTTTAAGTAAAATAAATATTAAATGAACGATTAAAATAATTCATATACGATGCAAAATAAAACACTATAAAATTCAGACTAATTCCTGTAATTTGCAATAACAGCTGCTTCAAATAGTAATGGCAAACAAAACAGAAATTGTGATGGTTCTTAGTACTTACTGTTAACTGAGCTGACAGAGAGTTCATCACAGTAGATTATGTCCTTCTGAAGATCTTAAGAAATTTGTGAGGTGTAGCAGAGCAAGATTACGTTTAGCTGATGTGAAGAGCAATTCTTTTATCCCGGAGAACCAACAACACCCGAATGGTATTGCGGCTGAATTCTGATAGTTCTGTTGTGGCTTGAACTGATGCAGAAACTTTAAATACTAATTAATATCGTTTTATCGTTTTTTGTTGTTTTCAGAATGGGAACAAAAAGATTATTCAATTTTTGTTTTTCTTGGAATGGCAGCAAAAGATTATTAATGATATTGTTCTAAAGAGTTGTTTACATTTGCTAAAAACGAAATAAAGATTATTTTTGATTTGTTGTAAAACTAAAGATTAATTTGGAGTCAGAGCCAATAGTTCTACCTGAATTCAACTCCCGGCGAACGAGGTGGCTGAATGGTATTTTCCGTGGTTTTCTCTCCCGTATAAGCTACTTTCCCTTAGAAAGGTCTTTCACGGAGAGACAGCCGTCGTGTATTTTGCCGTAATACACATAATTCACTCCAGTCCTTTGTCCCAAAAGTATTCGATTTGAATAAGGTAAGAATCATTCTACTCAGGTCAATATATATTTGCTAGATTCTTTCCTATTCTTCTTTCTCATGATACTTTTAAGAATATTTTTGTGTCGTGTTTTATTGCAAAATCTCTGCTATCATCTGTAAATACAGAAATGTAGGAATCTTGTACTTTTCCCTATATAACTGATTTGTCATAAGTTGTAGAAATGGTGATGAGCGCCTATTTAAATCAACGAGAGACCATTCTGGAGAGCTTTTCAATTTTTCTGATCCACAGCTTGTGACCCATATCTAACTATCTGCAACTTAACGCGACTCGCATACATATAATTCCAATTCAACGGGAAACACAGGTACTCTGATAAAAGAAGGAGCCACAACACCAAGCAAAAAAAGTTCCCGGAAGAAAGCATGTTAAATTCCAGAAATAGTTGTAGAGTCTTTAGGTTATATCAATGATGAACCAAACAAACAAACAAACAAAAAAAAAAAAAAAAAAAAAAAAAAAAAAAAAAAAAAAACGGGCAATGCCTTCGCCGATATTCGGACTCCGTACCTCCCGAATGCCTGCCGAGTGTACGTCGAGCTACACCACGAAGGCATAAGGAAAGGTGAGAAAAAATACCTTATAGAGTAAATAAATATACGACTATTACTAATTAATTGATAATTAAAAATTAATTACAAATTGAGGTAAGTATCTGTAAATACACTATAGGAAAAAAAGTACTTCAGTATTTTCTGTGACTTACAAGAAACTGTGTTGTGACCTACACTTTGGAAAACCACTGCTTTATTGCCTCTGTTTTTCAACAATCGAAAAGCTGAATCAAATTTTAAGCTTTATCTACGTCTGTATCCTTTACCAGAATATGCATTTATCTGCATATAAATGTTTTCCCATTTTCTTCGAGACACTAATGATGGTCTTGATCCGTTCTCAAGGTTTGTCCGTCTAATTAATTGCGAGAATTTTACCGGAAGTCAGGAATATAAACTTTCTGTTATGCATATTATATATAATATTTCTATTATACATAAACTGTACTTTTCTTGGGAAAACGATAAGTGATTTAGTCATGTAACTGGTGTTTCGTTACAGGTGACTACTCGATGGACTTGATGATAATGGCAAAAGGTCTAGACACTGGGTGATCTTCGGGACAACGATCAGGAGCTGAGAGAAATCAGTAAGTGAGTCTAATTCTGAAAAGCTATCTACTTCAGAATATCCTATACGCATGTTGAGGAAAACTGTCCTGGAGATAATGTTTGCAGTTTCACTAAATGTTTAATGTCACTAAATGTCACAAAAAATGTCACTAAATGTTTCACTAAATGTTTCACTAAATGCAATACATTAGGAAAATTAATATCGAAACTTGTATCTCTTGTACCAATAAAATATCTAACCATCACAAAACTTGCAGTAAAGAAGATGAAGACTTAAAACCTGTCTGGAAGCACCATCCAAATGACGTATTGGAAGCAAAACGGAATTTAAGCAATAATTTTTCTTTTTCCTAATATAAAACTTTTTGTTCAATTATAATTCGGTTATATACTTCGAACACATTTCATAAAGTAACCTTTATGCATTATCTGTGACACTATGTTTACGTCTTCGCTCATCTGAATATTCAAACACTCATCTGCATGACTGAACATTTCAGCTTCTTATTTTGCAGATAAACTAACAAAATATTATTTGGAAATTATTTTTTTGATTTTAATTTATTAGACGGCTAAATCAAATCGCATGTTTCAAAATACCACGATGAATAACTTTCCTCCTATTTTCCGATTGTGCCCCATTCATTAATAGTATAGCTAAAACATGACGAAACTATCCTAGAACGGATGGAATTATTTTAATTCATTAAATCATACTGTAAGTAATCTACAGAAACACAAACTGTACTGTAAATTATCAGCAGAATTCTTGATAATCCGCACCAGTCTTTTCTTCTTGATAATCCGCACCAATCTTTTCATTTCATCACATGCCTAAATTAATGATAAATATAGAGATAAGAGATGCGTTAGATGAAAATTGACAAGACGAAAAATTTAATAAAAGAAAATGTTGACAAACATTTCAAGGCTGAGAAGACCACTTATAAGTTGTTTAGTCTTGCAATTTGAAAAGTAATCAAACTTCTAAAACTAATTTTGTTTATTACACCAATTTTTATAACCCTTCAATATACATTAGCGTCCAAGAGGAACAGTAGCTCCATAGGAGTATTCCCATTTCATCGAACTTATTTGGTTTAAGAATGCTTTTGTTATTTATTGTGTGAGAGATTATGGGTAAGATATGAACTATTTCTGAACAAGTCATTGCCCATTTATCTTGAGTACAATATACCGAAAGTAAATTTATTCAACAGAATAAATTTATTTTCTTTGCTTCTCGAATTTAGAGGCAATATATTTAATAATGCATGATTTAGAGGGAAATCGTCGCATGGGCTTCACGGATGTTAATTCATTAGCCTTAAGCTCTATTATGCACACTCTTCGGTTGATTTAAAATTATATCTTTTTCGCTTCCATTTTAGAAAGATAGGTTGTGGGAAATGTAGCATTTAAATGCAAGAAAATCAATATGAGAATTTATATGGAAAGGTAAATGTATAAAGCATTTATACTTTGCATTCCTTAAATGCTTTAGAAGATTTTTTTTTATGTGAAGTTTAGAAAAAAACCATGCTTTTTTTTCAATTTAATCCGCTCTTCAGCTTGATCGGAATAGTGTGAAAAAATTCCTAGATATTTATTTGAGAATGTTAAGTCATATGTAAAACACACGAATGATTAAGCTTAATGTTTGGAATTTCAATAATCTAGGGCAGGTAAAATTTTAGAATTCGTCACAATTAAGTACATACGTCATATACTTTGTCTTTTTAAAATTTACCTGGTCAAATTTCCTTCCTTGGAAGACCATGAATAACTTGAAACACACGAAGAATTTCACACAGATAATAAATGAAATTATAAGGAAATTAAGAAGAACTTAAAGCATTCCTAAAATCGAGGATTTTTAAGAATGTGAGCGTGGGAATACTTCTTTGCATTAAAACATATCCTTAGAGCAAAAACAAACCACCGCTTAAAAATGGAAATCTGATAAAGAGCTCAAATAAAATGAAGTGTGATTTGCACTGAATTAAGAAATATGACATTGGGAAAAGATTTTGTTATATTTCGATACAACTAAAACACCGGATTTGCCACAAGTTCCATTTAGGCAAAAGGTATACTCTCTACAAGTTATAAATTGTTGATTAATTAATGATTGTTAATTAACTGTCAATAATTATGTATGTTTAATCATTATTATTACTTCATTATTATATTATTTTCTTCTAAGGCTTTCTTTTCTATTCTTCTTCCCTTCCCAGAGCAATTATTAATGAAAATTTTCATCTATGTGTATAAATGTCCTTAGGTTAAAAGTTGAGAAAACACTAGTCTCAAGATGTCGTATGCACAATGTTGAAATCATGTTGATAGAAATTCTGTCAGAGTCTATCAAAATTGGAAGGAATGATTTTGTTTAACCACTGACCGCCAGTATAAGATGTACATAAGTTTCTGCTGGGGGGAGAGCAAAACTCATGCATATTTAAATAAATATATAAAACTCATGCAATATTTAATCATTTCATATTCGTATGTCGTAATTAGATGTTAATTTAACTTTATGACGCCATTTTGAAGAAAACAAAGGAAATATTTTGCGATGAATATGTGTTTGGATAAACTTTTGCTTTGGAAAGGTATGTAAGGTCTTTTGTTATGTGACTGATACTGTAGAGCAGGGCTGGCCAGCGTTTTTGGGAAGAGTGCCACTATCTGAAAAAAAAAAAAAAAAAAAGTGTTGTGCATGCCACTTCCAACTTTTCCAATATAGCAAAAAATATAAAAAGTGGAAAAAAAAATGTTATTTATAAGCTGATTATGGGATTTTTGGGCAAATAGCACATTTTTTATGTAAGTCTGAGTAGTGGACATTTAAAAAATAATATAATAAATAAAACGAAAGTAAAAATTAGGGTTTTATTCTCAATAAAAATTTTTAACGGTTCAGTCAGTAAGGTTTAGTATAAAATAAAAATTAATAATCTGAAACATTTAATTCTAGATAGCTAATTGACCTGTCAGTACTTAATTAATGTGGTTTTGGAATATGTAGTTTTTTTTTCATCAAGTCATCTGTATTAGGATTAGTTCTGGAAGATGCTAATAAAATTATGTGTTAGGTAAATATTAGTTAATCTTGAACGATATTTTGATTTTATTATATTCATAGTAGAAAACGTTTGTTCACAACCATATGTTGATCCAAACTTACAACAATATCTAAGAGCCAAATCGTGTAAATTTGTAAAATTGTTTGTTGGTACAAATTTCCAAAATTCAACGCAATTTAGATCACTTGCAGTTGAAATCAGCTCCTTATACTTGCTTTTCAGTGTAGTATGCTGCTGTAGGCCAATAATTTCGATATTCATTTCAGTTGGGTAACAATGTCTTGCAGAAAAATTGAATTATTATATTTATTCTAATGTGTATATGAGTTAATCTATCGACGGAGTTAATAGAGACGATATTATTATTTTTTCAGGTCTTTTAATTTTTCAATAAGTCTTCGCGTGCCACTGTTGAAACTCCGCCGTGCCACGCACGCGTGCCGCGGGTTGGCCATTCCTGCTGTAGAGTTTGGACTACACAGACAATATATTTTCTTTCAGATGCGTTTTCTTCATCTCTATTGAGGGTTCAAGCAAAGGCATTGGCTGTTATATCTAAAATGATTAAAATCTTTATGTGAAGTTTCAGAAATCTTTATCTGCGTCCTTCATACTTCTTTCTCTCTTTCTTTATTTTTGATGCCAGCTGAATTATTATCGCAAATAGAAATGAAACCCGATAAAAAATAAGTCTGGTATACGGGGTCGAAACTTATCGCTTAAGCTTTAAACTAAATGGTTGCCCATGACATACTAAGCTTGCGCAAATACGTGATCAGACCGTGAACTTAATCTTTGAGTTCGACTGATGACATCTGATGATTCACTTTGACAAACATTCAAAAATTCCAAGCACAGTAAACTTATTTTACGACACCTAGAAATAATGTAATGCAAATCATTATAATTGTTGAATGTTTGGTGTAAGTAATTAGTATCTCTTTTTCTTATCGTTATTATAAAAGATATAAAATGTGAATTAAGTTTACGAGTTACTTTCTTCCGCTCTTTCATACTACCCAATAGAATGTAGAGAATGTAACCTAATTATTTAAAAATTTATATTAAGAAATGCGCTATTTGATTTACATTTTATTTTAACATGGTTAGTTATTATACGTCAGTATAAAAATATGCTAAAATATATAAGTGAATATCAAAATACGGAGTAAAATTATAATAACAAAGAACAATGCGTTAATAGGAAAAATTGACATTACATGCATAGAAATAACTATATTTTAGGTAATAATACATCAAGTTGTTATCGTTTTTCATGAAATGAGAAAAAACAAACCTAAGTGTCAATATCCACCCAAATTTGACGGACCTCTTTCTCAATACAAATAACAGCACGACGTCATTCGAAGCTATGCACAAAGCAAACGCGTTGCACAAAGTACCGGGTGATCAAAAAGTCAGTATAAATTTGAAAACTTAATAAATCACGGAATAATGTAGATAGAGAGGTAAAAATTGACACACATACTTAGAATGACATGGAGTTTTATTAGAAAAGCAATAATCTGATCAGAAAAGCAATAATTAGCATAAAAAATTAAAATAAAGATGACGTTCTTTACAGGAAATGCTCAATATGTTCACCATCATTCCTCAACAATAGCTGTAGTCGAGAAATAATGTTGTGAACAGCACTGTAAAGCATGTCCGGAGTTATGGTGAGGCATTGGCGTCGGATGTTGTCTTTCAGCATCCCTAGAGATGTCGGTCGATCACGATACACTTGCGACTTCAGGTAACCCCAAAGCCAATAATCGCACGGACTGAGGTCTGGGGACCTAGGAGGCCAAGCATGACGAAAGTGGCTGCTGAGCACACTATCATCACCAAACGACGCGCGCAAGAGATCTTTCACGCGTCTAGCAATATGGGGTGGAGCGCCATCCTACATAAAAATCGTACGTTCCAGCAGGTGTTTATCAGCCAGGCTGGGGACGATGCGATTCTGTAACATATCGGCGTACCTCTCACCCGTCACGGTAGCAGTTACAAAACCAGAATCACGCATTTCCTCGAAGAAAAAAGGCCCGATAACAGTATTTTTTTTTGGTTCTAATAAAACCACATGTCATTCTAAGTATGTATGTCAATTTTTACCTCTCTATCTACATTATTCCGTGATTTATTAAGTTTTCAAATTTATACTGACTTTTTGATCACCCGGTACATTTACCGCAAACCTCTACAATTTAGAACTTCATTTCCGTGTTTGCAGAGTCAAATTGGTTTTCTGTGTCTCCGAAATATCATTTGGAAATCTATATGAGGCGGAGACCCGTCTACCATTTAGAAGCTACGCAGGAAATTGTGCAAGGGGAACAGTATGTTTTGACTTAAACGTAAGAATTTCTCATATTCAGAAAGGGTGTTTTCTTAATCAACTGTGTAAATCCACTAGAAATTAGAATTTTTTGAAATTTTACCTTTTCACTTCTTGTGCGAAGTAAAGGTATTAATGTAATAAAGAAAATTTTCGGGTATCATATTTTAATGGAAATATTCATTTTGACGATTTCTTTGCGTGACTTATGGACAGAATAAAGAACTCTTTTTTCAAAAACAATGCAGCAGGAGAGGTAAAATACGTGCAATGTTGTCGCCGTGACTCGAACCCTGGACCTCTCGAATATACGCCTAGTAAGCTACCGTTACACCACGAAGGCATGCTGGAAGGAGGATGAAAAATACCTTATATACTTCCCCTTTCTTAAAGCACGAATAGGGATTAGGATACCCAATCACCAAATCCTGATGGTGACGAATTATTGTCCATCACCTTTTAGTTCGGGCGCCATTGCAGAGACATTAGGTTATTTTGAAGCAAAAGACATGAAAAATGACCGATACCCTCGCCGGGACTCGAGCGTGGACCTGTCGAATACGCGCCGTGTGTGCTACCGTTACACCACGAACGCATGCTGCAAGGAGGGAGAAAATACCTTATAACGGAGTGCAAAATGGATTTAAAGTGGCTTCACCAGGGACTTTTGGGTGACGTCTCTATGTACGTACCTGTGTATGTATGTGTATATATGTATATACTTATACAGAATCACAACTTTTTTATTTAAAACAAAATTATTCCGTGCAATATGCTGCTGAAAAATAATCAGTGTAGACAAAACGTAAGAAATTTAGAACCAATTCCACAAAGACCCAAAGGAAGTGAAATTCTAAACCAGTAAATTTCAAAATTCCCTATAAATATGGAAAATCAACCAAAATCAGAACACTTAAAAAATATGAAATATCAAAATCTCAAAAATACAAAAACCGCAAAAAATATATACAAATAGAAGCAAAGGAAGAGAAATGCAATCAAATCTGATATAACGTTATCATGCGGAGGTACATAGACTCAACTGAACACTCCATTGAAATCCACTGCGTTTCTGTTATCCAAAATTAGCTGATGAACAATTCCAAATTATTTAATTACAGCGGTTTACCCGAAAATTTTGAATTTTTATTATTTTATAAAATAGAAGAAGCGTCCAATCGCATCAATAAAAATAACGAGTGAAATTGAAAAGAAATGATGGCAATAATATCGTGTAGATATTTTCATTATTATTTCACCTATATCATTACTGATATAATAACATTGCATTAATTTATTATGTCAGGAAATGTAAAATAAAGTTCTTGACCTATATAAAGAAAAGCTTTATTTTTATTGAAAATCAGACAGTAGCAAAATCATTCACAATCAAATATCAAATTAAAATTTCATAAGTTACATCTCTATCCATGATATGGATTTAAATCTACGTTATGACATAAGTTTAATTTCATGTAAAATTTATTGTAGATGTCTTCATTACGTGGAATTTTTTCATGAGAATATTTGATTCTTAGTTTCATGTATCTCTAAACGAGTCATTAATGGAGTCTCTACGGTATTTTCGTCTATTTGCATTTAATTAATTTTTGTTTTAAAAACTCTCGTTCGAGAAAATGTTTAATTATACGCTTGTTAACAAAACCTCTTTATTATAGGTATAACGAAAGTTATTACTTTTGGTCTAATAAGCGGAAAAATGTCAAGAGAGGTCAGTAGCCTTTATGTGTAAAAAGAGAAAAATGAGGAACGCCTCCATATACAGTAAGTGAAATTGTAAGGTAAACATTTACTCGTTTTCATGAAAATAAGATTTGATATTTTTACTTTAAACCTTTCAATTCAATTAAATTTCGAACAATACTTCCTTCCCTATAAATATACACTGGTGTGCAAAAATTAAGGACGAAGTCGAAAAATTAGCATATCAGCTGAACGAAGAGGCAGAGCGGACAGAAAGACCAATCAGGAGATTAAGCAAGGTGATGTACGGTAGCACATGCGCAGATATGCAGGTAGATGTAATGGGGGAGTGTCTGAGTAGTATAAAGCATGTTTTCAGGTGTAAGATCAGTATTTCTGGCAAAGAATTCCACGCCGTATAGCAGTTAAAATAACACCGAGTTGCTGCCTCAGCGAGAAATGGCGAATAATCAATCTGTTAGACGACATCTGGATGCTTTTACCCGAGGTCGAATCATTGGGAAGTTGGAGGAAGGCCGCAGTGTGACAAGTGTGGCTGCAGAGTTCGGAATTGCTCACAGCATCGTTTCACGACTTTGGAGACAATTTCAAACTACAGGAACAGCTATCCGGGGGTTTAGTAGTGGTCGTCCACGAGGAACCACACCCGCAGATGACCGGTATATTGCCTTACAGGCCAGAAGAAACAGGCGGCAGACAGCGGGAAGAAATCGCTAGACACACGGCACAGGCGACTGTACGACCGATATCGCGTTTTACCGTGGCCAGAAGACTGCACGGTGGTGGTCTGTTTGCACGACGCCCTGTACGGTGTGTACCTCTAACGCCTGCCGATCGGAGAAGGCGTTCTCTGTGGTGCCGGGAACACCGGAATTGGAGAGACAATGAATGGGGACGAGTACTCTTTACAGATGAGAGCAGATTCAGTCTGAGTAGCGATTCTCATCGCATACTCATCTGGAGAGAGCGGGGAAGTCCGCAATCATCCCTCGAACATCATTGAAAGGGACAGGTATGGAGGTGGCGGTGTTCTCGTTTGGGGAGGCATCATGCTTGGTTGTCGTACAGACCTTCACATCTTCGACGCAGGTTCAGTCAACGGGACCCGTTATTGTAACGAGATTCTTCTTCCATATGTGCGTCTTTTTAGAGGCGCTATGGGTCCGCAGTTCCTTTTCATGGACGACAATGCACCATGTCATCGCACAGTAGCTGCCGAACAGCTCTTAGAGAGTGAGGATATTGAACGTATGGATTGGCCGGCACGATCTCCGGATCTCAATCCCATAGAGCATGTATGGGATTTTCTAGGCAGACGCTTGGCAGCTCGTACCTTACCACCAGTAACGATTCCGGAGCTTCGATTGGCGCTACAAGACGAATGGGCAGCAATGCCTCAACAACTCATTGACACCCTCATTCTCAGCATGGGCAGACGCTGTGAAACCTGCCTAGCAGTCAGGGGAGATCATATCCCCTATTAAAGACCGGATGTTTCTTGCTGGACACCCATCACAGGGATGTTTCGGACTTCAGTCGCATTGCGCTCCATGCTACTTTTTCAATAAAGCTTCTTTTTATCCCTCTGATTTCTCTTTTAGTAAGTGTTGCTTACATTACTCATGTCCTTACGTATTGGGGATCTTACGGTATTAAATGTGTTGATTTGGAAAGCTTTTGTACAAAGTTATATTGAAAAAACCATCTCGTCCTTAATTTTTGCACACCAGTGTAGCTAGGAAAAGCAAAAACTGTTTCTTAGGTTATGCAAAATATATAAGCATTACCTTCAGCTGCTGCATTTGAAAAGCTACATAGTTTCATATTTATATTACACATGACGATAGCCACGAAGAAGTTTGCGTAGCTAACTTCTTTTTTGGCGTGAAATTTAATTTCCTAATGTAGTGGTTCTCAAAGCGTAGTTCTCGGAACATCAGGACTTTGTGATGATCCATTAGGGATTCTTTAATCCCTTCTTTATCGCTCCCGCCGAAATTACGGGATGAGGTTTCGCCCTCTATTTCTCTTGCACGTGATATTTCGGAGTTGGAGTATTCAAAAGAAGCGCCCCAAAAAGATTAAAAACAATCCATTTTTTAAACCTAATTAATGTTTCTCAAAAATTAAATTTTCTTTATTTCAGTCTTAAAAAATTCCAAAAATTCAAAATGAATACATGTATTTTTCATACACTTACTTTTAAATAATTTTTTTGAATAAAAAATATGAGCACTTTTTTACTGTTTTCTTGAAAATTATGCGATTGTTAAGGAAAGGACTTAAGCAGCTTGTGAAACATCGCCGAAATTATTTAAAATTAATAAAACTGAACTTTGGACACTTTTTGTTTATCACATTGAATATAAATAGTAAATATAAGCAAGACTAATAAAGAATAGTTAGTTTATTTTTTTATTTTTGGGTCATACTGAATATGAATAATAAATACATGCAAGAATAGGCAAGGAGAATTTATTGTTTCGATTTCTAGGTTAAATAATATAATGTTTATAACTGACATATGATCCTACATAAGTTTTTAAGCAATTCGTTTTTAATATTGGAAAGACCATTTTTTCCAGCAATAATACCTTATATACTCCTTGTTGTGTAATGATGCATCAAACTTTTTAAACCGTTTGTGAAATGACAACTTTATACATTTATTGATATTTCTAAAAAGCATTAATCATAATTAATATTTCCTTGAATTAAAGATCTCTTTTGATAATTTAAAGTGTAACTATAAAAAAGGAATGGAAATTTTGTTTTCATCGGTGGAAGGAATTTTATCACTAGCGGTATCAGCTGCTAAGTTCACTCAGATAAAGAAAAAAACTAGATGACATTTCCGAAAACTCTGACTAAGAAGTTCTGATAACGTCAAGTTTCTGAATAACAATTATGATCTTTTAACTTGTATGACGATAAAAATAGACAGCAGGAATAGGATAGCAACAGCTTATCGCTGCTCTCGTTTTGCATAATTTTACTCAGAAATATGCCTGATCACACTACATTTAATTTTTTATTCTTCGTATGGAGAAAGCAAGAAAATACCTATGCGATTTGAAGAACAAGGCAGTTTTTTTATCCCGAGACTTTTAAGGCAGGGTCTAAAGATTTTACTTCATTTGTGAATATTATTTCATGATTATTATCGCAGACTCCGACACACAGATTGCAAAACTGACGTAATTTAGAGCGGTTCTAAAACCAGTTTTGGAGAAAAAAATCAAACGCATTGTTAGCCGTGGTTTAATTTGGTTCTTGAACAAAGTACGGCAAAGAACTTTAGGGCTATTTCTAGTTGAAGAGCGCCTGTAATGACGATTTTGTTATGGAAATCACCTCGAATTTACGTTACGTATTCAGAAATTAATAAGAAACCCATTTTGTCATCATTGATCTGATAAAGGAGTAATTATCAGTGCCGCGCGGCTTTAATCATGCAGTTTTTTATGATGCAGAAAATATCTTTGGATAAATGATAGATTTATCTGTAGATAGGTCCCTCAAAACTTAATAGGAAACTTCAGTGTCAACGTACTTTCATTTCTGAAAGGTTCAGTCATCTGAAAAAGTTTCTTTTAAATAAACAGAGAATAGAAGGCGCAGTGAAAAGATCGTCACTTAGCAAGTGGATAAATTCCTAATGGCAGGTCACTCGAAGATACATTTTTGAAACATTTCGAAGCCTTCACGAGGAAAACCTTCTGTCATTTACATCATGGGTTGTCACGTTGTAGGATTTTAACGTAATACCTTATTATTTCATTATTATCTTATTAATAGCCCTTTATCTTATTATTCCTATATTTACTGTTATTTCTACTTTCGTCGGCTCCCAACAGGTTGCAAATTGGTTAACGTATATAAGAAAAGAGATCTTGAAGTTGAGTGAAGGCTTTTGGCAGCGATCGCTGATTTTCTCCTAACTATTTTCACCTAGCTTCTAGCTTTATCCGAATCGACTAGCCATTGTTAGCTGTGTTTTTTCGCGGGAGTTTCAGAATATGAGCTAAAACTTACAGGGGACTGTGCCCTCGTAATTTACACTTTAATTGCTTAATTTTATTTTATATTTTGCTTTCTGTTAATCACGCAAGAAGCGGTGACTTGTTTTGTTATTATACGAGCTGACTGATGAAATGTAAAAGTTGTGTTAAACTGATGAAATGTAATAAAAAGGTTTTTTTTTAACATTCTACTGATGTCGGCGTTATTTAACTGAAACTTTAATACGCGGCGATAAAGTCCCCTGACTGTCTGCAAGGTAAGCAGAAATCACCATTGAAGTAAAGTTGCGTACATCATTAAGTTGTGAAAAAACGTTTAAATCAAAGCAATGATATGCAATGATAAATAAGATATTCTGTGAAACAGAGAAAATTCAAAGCACTGTATTAATACTTAAGTTAAAATAGCCTTTTTTTCCCTATTATGTAAAAAGTGGCAAACAAGTGCATTTTAATTTACCTATTGCTAAGCTGTGTAAGTTTCATTGAATATAAACATGATATCGGATTTCTTCGGCGTTTTACTTTGTCATAGCTTAAGCAACAATAAGCAAAATTGCAGAAACACCATAGCAGCCAGTCTGTTATTCACTACGGAGTACGAAAAGTTAAGACGAAACTGGCATGTTCGGTAACTTTTATTCCCAGGAAATCTCATCCAAAAGTGCTTATACTGGAAATTATCATACCTGTATAATAGGATTCTGATTACTAATATGCGCACGTAAAGGGGAAAGTGAAATAGATAACACTTGTAAGCTTGGTTATGACTTCAAATGCAATTCTATTGGTCAATCCGATTTTTTTTTCTTTTTGTTGTGTTATCATTCCATGTATTAAAACTAATGTACAATTGATTAGCAGTTAATTAATTCGCATACATCTTATTGCTTTAAATTTCAATTTAGTGAATCTGATCTGATGGACTTCTGCTTTGTCTAGGACTGTTGCTTTGTGATACTGGAGCAGGGCACTTAATAGGTCCGGTACTGGAGCAAATCTTCTAAAATTAATCTGTTCAGTGTCTTTGTAGACTGATGGCAGGGAAAGAGTGGTGTGAGGGGATACCGCGCCTTTTTGGGGGCTATCAATCAAAACTGGGAAGGAATTTAGATATTCCTTGCTTCTGCTTTGCCTAAATTATAGAATTTAAAAAAGACTTTAAATAAAAGAAACATTTGGTACAAGAAGACTGTCCTGAGTGGGAAAGCTATACTTAAATGTAAGATACTATCCAATTTTTAAAATCCTGGACTGTGTTACAGGTTATTCGGCCAGGAAATTTTTAAGCTGCATTAAATTTGTATGCTTGGCAATTAGATAAGAATATTCTATTCAAGACAGATTTGAGTTTTGAAATACCCAAGTATAATTCTATTAATGCCAATAGAGAACGTTTTTTTTTTCTACAGCAAAAACATTCTTTCTTTAAATAGAGATAGCCTAATATTTTTAATATTTAAATGCTAAATATAATTCATTTTTTTCTTGATTAAACCAGATGGAGTTCTAGATTTTATTTGTTTTCATAATTTTCTTTTAACTGCAAGTGTCGTACGAGGCTTCTTAGCCACGAAAGCTGCACCGAATATCTCCCTTTTTTTTTAAACCACTTTTCACTCATCCAATAGGAAATTCCTTCCCATAAGTAACTCGGACCCTACAACTTCACTGACCTAAAGCCAGTCATTGGTATATCGGAGCTTTTCCGCAATACGTTTGGCTGATTATTGCGAGCAGTTAGCAGAAAGCGCATAGGACCTTATAATGTCTGAATCGGTGTTGTTTGTCATTCAACACTGCGTATGATATTTACTTTATCTTTCATGTTAAAACGTAATTTGCTTAGTGAACTGAATTAGAAATAATATGTGCATTTCTTAATATTTGATATCTTTTTTTTTGTTTGTTTTTGAATTAAGCCATTAACATAATCATGGTTTTTTTCACCTCTGAAAATGATCAATATTTCTAAGAATATAAATTAAAAATTACAATAATAATCATCGTAATATTTTCTAAGATATTATGATGATGATTATATTATGATGATTACTCGCTAACCCACCAAGGTAATAAATGATGTATTAAAGCAACCACTAAATATCTAATTTAACTACCAGGCTAAAATACTTTACGAACAAATATTAAAACAGAACACTGTTATATTTGAAACAAATTTGTTAAGCTTTAAACTCTTATTGCAACAAGAAAGATAATTTTATTGAAAACAGTACTTAATTTGTTTAAAAACTACGTAATTATGGTGTAGGATTTAGTCTTCTTTTCTAATATACAGTGTAACTATATTTATTTAAGTTGAGAGTTTGAGCAAAGATCTCGAAGATGAATACAACATGGTAAGAGTGTAAAAGACCCTTTTATATTGAACACAATAGTTTACAGACGGCACGGACCTACGTGCTTACAGTCACCAACTACTTATGGTGAGGAATTTAAAAGATAAAATGTCAACTAAATTGAAAGGTAAATAGTAGTGTAAGACTATACAAATCAATTTAACCTAGCAGGTTGAAGTCAGAAACCTATAGCGGAGAGATAATAATTTCGGAGGCAAGAATGCGAATCCGAGATTCAAAGTTAAACAGCTGGTAGAATAACGTGCTCTTTCAATAGCGAAACCACATTCTCACTAAACTTTTAGTTACTTCAGTTTAAACACACTCTCCTTCACCCTAACTGATTTAAATACTGGCGAGGAAAATAAGAAAAAACAGAAAGTCTAACAAATTAAAATAACTATTAGTAAAAATAAGAGAAACCTACAGTGTCAAGATATATGAGAACTCTCTGCCTAAGTAAAGGGATGCCTTCGGAGAGGATTTTCTAAGGTAAGCTGACACATATTCCATTTTACATATGGGAAACTCTACTAATCCAGTGTTCCTAACCATTTTGTTGCCCCATGCACCGCTTTACCATTGCTGGAAGATCATTCTCCCACCCCTCCTTTTCAAAACTCGTAAAATACATATACATGTATTTAAATTTAGATTTATTTTAGTGTGTTTTATAAATTGAAAAAGAAAAATGTGGAAAATATTGATAAATATCAAAAACTGATATTTATCAAAAGTATTTTTTATATTCATACACTAAAACTGAAAGATAAACACAAGAAGGTAAATCGTATTCCTAGGATGAATATTTTGACTTAGTTTTTATTTGATTACCGCAAAGCATTCTAGGGCTATCTACCTAAGGGTAAAGATGTTTTCATAAGTGACTTTCTAAGGAAAATTGACTCTATACACGTTACACATAGGGGAAACCATGCAAACGCCCATGCAGCCAGCCTGTTAGCGGGATTCGAAACTCGGACTGAACTACTACCACTGTTCAGCAACTTGTTCTATCTCTCGACCGCTGGTGGCCCGTGAATATTTTGATAAGCAGTAAGTGTTTTTGAAATTACTAAACAAAATTTTTAATAAAAGGTTTTAGCAATTTTTTTCTATACTCATAAGGCATTTTCTTATTCTGAAATATTATTTACGAGTAGCATTTCCCAAAACAGCCTGTAAGATAAATTGTTTTTTAACTTTTGCTTTGTTGCTAAATTATTTACAAATTATCTTTATAATTAATAACAAACATTATTAATAAACATTCACACCACGCCTGTACTTCAATATTTTAATTTAATTGACCCCAAAAGCTTTGCATGAAGCCACTGTATGAGTAGTTAATCGCCACCACCGATAATCTTTATATCTTAAGAAAACAGCATCCACAGGAATATAAAATCTTTTGGAACAATAGGTAGTTTTTTTAGAAAAAGTTCATTTTGGCTCTTTAAAACCTATAGAGGTTTAGAGTAGTCTCAGAAAAAATTCTCAGCGCTCTCTCCGTTTGATGTAATTTGCTATATGCAGTGTGTGTACTAATATTTCAGGCTAATAACGATGTAACAAGGTAAACGCTACTATTTAGCGTACGGTACACATATTACTTAATTTCATGTTAATGAAGTGTTAAGTCAGCATCTATTTGGATGAGCTGCAATTTTTAATTTCAGCAGTTTTGTATCCTTGTCATGTATACGGAACAAAGACTGACAATTAAGTTTTGTGAAAAGCTTAGTAAAACACCTTCAGTAACCGCTCAGATGGTGGAAATTGCCTGTTGCAATCAAGCATTTTGTCTTGCCCATCGGCATCGTCAATTTCGAGATGGTCGGGAATGATGGGACGAATGATTGCAAGGAAGATCATTCCTTAATCAGTTGAACTGATGATCTCATGAAGATGCTAGATAAAAATTGAATGAAAATTATGCACAATCGCGAAGGATGGTTTATATGGGCTTTACTGTCCGAAAAGACACACTGCATAAGGTCTGGTTGAAACCAATTTGTGTTTCCTTGAGTATCACAACGTGCAAAGCCACAAGGTAGTTGCTATACAAGAGATTTTGGATTAGAAACAAGCATCCCCACCTTACTCACAATATTCCGATGAATATATTTTCATCCCCGAACTAAAATCTAAACTAAAAACCGAACTAAAGTGATTGAGTGAGCTAACATTTTTGTAACTTTGGAGAAATATTATCGCACTCTTGTTCAATCCCTTCTTTTATTTGGCTTTTGATAAAATGTTATCTATCCTCATTCGCCCCTCCAATTCACTCCAAATATATTTAATTAAATTTAAATAAGGAGATTTGAAAAGTCCTTCGATCACTTCTTTGTTAGTGTGCGGCAGTCACAAGTGAACATTTAAAGCGATATGCGTAAAGTCTTAGTATATTTCACTACATAAATGCAAACATTTATGTAGTGAAATAAATGCAAAATTTATTTCTAATTCTGTTTCTTTAAGGTTATGTCTTAAATTTCTCCTTTAAAATGTTCATATATTTTTATGAGGTAATTGACCGTCGTGTCGGGCTGATCTACCAGTTGCTATAACTGCTTAATGAGAAAATAATGTAAAGAAAGTTTTATAGCACTTAAATACTGATTTCTTAAAATATTTTAAGTAAAAAACGCTGGTCTTGCGAAATAAGTTTTGACTAATGACAGTGTTTTTCTTATTTACGATTTGGTTTCCTTCTTTGAATATCATTATAAAGTTAAAACTAGTAGAGCGACCAATTCCAATTTTCAGAATTACCTTAACAGATTTACCATCTTTGAAATTGAAAAGAATTAGTTTTTTAACCTCATTAATTTTTTTTTTAAAGATACCATGCCATAATGTCACAGAACGCACTAAACTGGAATCTGTTTTCATTTCACGTTTTTAATCGTAAAGCCAAGTAGTACTTAAACTAATGCTATAATTGGAAAATAAAAAAGAACTACAATGACTTTTGTTAAATCCTGATTTTTTTCTGGAAAAACAAATGGTGCCGAGATGCTTCTACAGAAGAAGATGGAGAATGGATAAATCATGTGTAAACATTATGAGAACGGAAAACTTCATATGTACAATTCTTGTACTACAGGGAGCAGGTAATAACCACCTTGACCAAAATTGACGCAACTGAGTCATGGTAAACAGGTTCACAGAGAGTAGACTGGTGGATGAATGTACCTTTTATCGGTAGGCATTGGGAGTCCATAAAACAGATTCGATCAGATGATACATAGGATATAATGACCGTTACCGCATATCTGAGCTCCAGTATACTTCTGCCACTTCCACACGTAGCCAGGCCTTTTACTAGCGGTTAAACATTCGTTTATTGCAACCCGTTTCCAATACTGCACTGGCGTAAAGGGAATGCAAATTTCCGACACGGATTAATTTCCTTTTTTATAAATTTTAAATTACTACATAGATAAATTTCATATATGATTTTGAAAAGAACGGGATAAAGATATTATGTTGGAAATATAATTCAAAAATTTCAATTTAACCTATGTATTCGTTATCACCTGGGTTTTGTCGATTGCATCCGTACCCGTTCCTAGCTGCCTTTTAATTGCGGAGAATATAAGCAATTATCGAATTCTCCCATGCGTTATGTGGTGGTATAAGTGGCAGCACGTCAAATTAATAATTGGAGAATCAGTGATTCGAGTTCCTGAGAAAGCATAATTGACTTCTCACGTTTCCTGACTTCAAAAATTGTAAAATGGTTTTATAAGGAGAAGCACATATCTAGGAGTAATATTTCAGTAAATAAAGCATGTAACCACCTTTCTCTAACACCATAAGCGAATTTTGGCTACGGACGTAATGCCAATAACTAACAAATGCTTAGTCGCAAATTTAAGCCTTTTTACTTCCTTGTACGAAGTAAAAAGGAAGTATTGTCATCGCGAAAAATTTCGGGTATCATATTTCAACGAAAATATCGATTTTGACTGCTAGAAAATGCAATTTAATGATGTTTTTGCGTGACATCCGCAAGTAAGGACAGAATAAAGGACTCTTTCCCCCCCAAAAAAAAGTTATAAAACTGATTTAAAATGATTTCTGAAGAGAATTTTCCGTGGCGTCTGTGCGTACGTACGTATCTCCCATAACTCAAAACCGAGTAGCCTCAGAACGTTGAAATTTTGTATGTAGGACTGCTATAACATGTAGATGTGCACCTCGTATTTTCTTTGCAATCGGCCTCACCAAAAGTATATATATATATATATATATATATATATATCCACTTTGTTACTCGGCTCAGTGAGCTCAGTTTCTTTATTCTTATATTTTTGTAAATTGTGAGTTTTTTTACTTTAAAAATGATTGAATGATATTGTTTTTATCTTCCGGTTAAGGTTTTCATGCCTTTAGTAAATCTGCATGCAATATTTTTAGAATTATCAACAATTTTAAAGTTGTTTAAGTACAGCTAAGCCTAATGAATTTTGTGATCGCGGACATGTTTGTTTACATTTCAAACTTGGCCATATAGCCAATTTGTTGCCAATCTAAAGAAACTAAGCTTCGCAACAACAAAGATAACGCCTTCTTTTTTTATTGCGAATTAAATCATGCTTAATCCATTCTGGAAATTTATTCGAGGAAATAAGTGTTTTATATTTACTTCGTAATTTTTAATATAGATATTTTGAGTTTTTAATGTATTTTTGCCTTGTCGGGAAGTGAGAACTGAATTAATTGAATGAGAAATACTGAATCGTCCGTGAAAAACTGTTTCTTTTTTGTTTTGTTTGCTTAATTTCTTTTATACATCGTTTTAGATTTATTATAGTATTTGAATAGAAATGTGGCAACGATTAGATAATTCTTCAAATGATATAAATTTATATGCATTCTGAGTTATAATAACAAAAAAAAAAAAAAAAAAAAAAAAAAAAAAAAAAAAAAAAAAAAAAAAAAAAAAAAAAAAAAAAAAAAAAAAAAAAAAAAAAAAAAAAAAAAAAAACAAAAAAAAATATGGACGAAATGTAACGCTGTTAAGTGAACCTAGCGCCAGAGTGTCGCTATGGTAAACAAATATAGTGACTTTTAAAGAGTGCATTTATTCTATTGTGGTTTATGCGCTATCGACGAAGTAGATTTAATTCAATCCAATAAGTTTAAATGAAATGCAAGAAAAAATGCGTATAATTTAATATTCCGTGCAAGGAACTCATGTGGTATACACATCAGATTTTTTCAAAAAGTAATAAGTATAAATATCTTTTCTTTCAACTAAATTACCTTCTATCTCCCTCGTCATCTTGTCTTATATAAACTTAAAATATATAAGAATTTTTTAATTTATTTGAGAGAAGAAAATTTTAAAGCCTTCGTTATCAACTTTAAAAAATGAAAGAAACAGGAGAGAAATTTTACTAATTTGGTGTATTAATATATTACGAAGAAACAGCTGTTTGTGTGCTTATTTTAAATTTATTGAAATAAAAGTACCTTTAAAGTACAAAGACCAAAGAATTTTCAATTACAATTTAATGTTGTATGAATTTTGATTCATTTTGCATTAATCTATTTTTATGTCAGTTTTGGTTTAAAAGATTTTGGCATATGCATTATTCTGAGCTTTCCTGTTTGTAACTTTGCCCCTACAGAAGGATATTATTTCTGTAAGCTTTATCTCTTTCTTGCTTATACATATATATACATAAATGTATATTGTCGTCTTATTTAAATAAAAACAGAAACAGGAAATTTTAAATAAACTTGCTAAATTGTCCGCTTAAAGTTATCAGAATTCAGTGGTAATAATTTAAAATTAAAAAAAAAAAGCAAATTTAAATACCGTATTCAGTTATGTTAAAATAGGAACAAAAGAAACTAGTATAAAAACATGTGGAACATAGCCCCCCCCCATTTATTGCTGCACAATTGCCACAAGTGAAAATACCTTAAAATTTACGTAATTCTGCGGTAAATTTGCATTTGAAACAAAATCAAAAAGAGAGAAATCCCAAAAAGACAGATCAACTAAATCAAAGCAAAAACGAAATTGAAGTAAATAA